AATTTAATCGAATTTTCAAGTACCGTTTTCTTGAAAACCGGAGCCAATCTGGTAAAACGGGGGATGCCATTGATTTAAGAACCTCCCAATTAAGTGAGTTCAACTTTCAAAATCTTTGCTTAAAATTTACAACTAGAAAAGCGTAATTTGAACCCAGCTTGTTCTTTCGTTTTCTGTTTCATGTTTATTCCTCGTCTAACTTCTGAGGCACTTGATGAAAAGGAGTCACACTTATATTAATCGATTTATTAAGAGATTTCGAATAAAATGGTATATAAAACCTAGGTGTGCTCACAAGTGTAAAAATTAAAATATCGGTAACCGTTCTACCAATTTGTACCAAACTCGGTGTGGTTATTGTGCTTGCCACATATAAGCAAAACGTTGAAAATTATTGAAGTCGGACTAAAATAACGGCCGATTCTCATATAACGGTAAATTTCAGAAATGCTTGAAACTTCAATATTTCGAAATTGAAGGACGCTAATTTACTCAAAATTGATACACCTCGGCTTACCATCTAGCGGAAGGTTTCGGAAGGGTGAAAAAACATATATTTAATACTTGCGCCGGGTATTTAATGTTCGGCTCCGCCCGAACTTAGACTTTCTTACTTGTTATACATAAGATACATATGCCACGCCCCCTTTTCCAAATTTGGGCAAACTCCACATAAAATATCAGCATGATGGCCCGAATATGCTTATAAATTTGGTTGAAGTCAGTGAAGCCGTTCTCAAGTTAAAAGCTAACTCACTAATTTTTATATATAAAATAGAGGCGCCACGCCCCCTTATCCGAATTCAATCAAACGCCACATAAACCATCTGCATGATAGCCCGAATATGCCGCACAAATTTGGTTGAATTTGGTGAAGCCGTTCTCAAGTTATATGGTCACACCAAAAACGTTCACTTATTTTAATATTTTAGTTAGTGTGGGTGGTGCCACGCCCTCTTTTCAGAATTCGGGCAAACTTCGCATAAACTATCTGCATGATAGATCGAATATGCCACATAAATTTGGTTAAATTCGGAGAAGCCGTTTTCAAGTTATAAGCTCACACCAAAAACATGCACTTGTTTTCATACATAAGATACATATGCCACGCCCCTTTTCCAAATTTGTGCAAACTCCACATAAAATATCTGCATGATGGCCCGAATATGCTATATAAATTTGGTTGAATTCGGTGAAGCCGTTCTCAAGTTATAAGCTACCTCACTAATTTGTATATATAAAATAGAGGCGCCACGCCCCCTTTTCCGAATTCAAGCAAACTTCACACAAACCATCAGCATGATAGCCCGAATATGCCGCACAAATTTGGTTGAATTCGGTGAAGCCGTTCGCAAGTTATATGGTCACACCAAAAACGTTCACTTATTTTTATATTTTAGTTAGTATGGGTGGTGCCACGCCCCCTTTTCGAATTCTGGAAAACTTCGCATAAACCATCTGCATGATAGATCGAATATGCCGCATAAATTTGGTTGAATTCGGTGAAGTTATGAGGTCACTCCAAAAACGTGCACTTATTTTTATATATAACATATCAATTTTGAGTGAATAGTCTGCAGTAGTTACTAAAATATCGCAGTTTTGTATTTCTGAAAATTACCGTTATGTGGGAGGTAGGCGTGGTTATAGTCCGATGTTGCGAATAAAGACTCTTAACATAGTTAACGCCGAATAAAGACGCGTTAAAATATTTGACGGTATTTGACCCGTAAACTTATTTTCGCGGTCGAATATGTTTGCTGGTGTAACAGTATGTAAATTCCCCAAAGAGTATTTAGGGAATGATGCTGAAGTGGCAGTCCTTGGCCAGGTATAAATATATGTTTTCGCGTCTATTTTCGCCATCAACTAGGCTTCGCGCCTTTCTTCGCCGAAATTTTCCTTAAGTGTCTTTGTTCGTAAATTTTTTTTTTACGCGTCTTTTTTCGCCGTCAAAACTCTAACGCACGTTATGTATAAGAATATGGGCAAATCTAAAAAAATAGGTACACTTTCCAAAAAAAATTTT